AACTCATAGTGACCTTGTATAGTATTTTCAAGGAGTGGCTGGTGAGTTTGAACCACTGATCTTGCAGTTCAAACTGACCTTGCGGCCTAATGCTTATCCTACAACACCAGGACTCCATAAAACCCTTCAATACTGTAAATCGAGACTTATTTTTTTTCTCCAGGTCTTTCAGCTTGAAAAATGCTGAGCATATTCTTCCCTTCTGGTTTTCTATCTGCAGTTTTTTGTACATTTCATTTTAATACTTTAGTTTATCTTCTCAAACTGCTCTTTGAAATTTTCTTTCAGCTTTTTTACTTCATCATTTTTTTTCAGTCGCTTTTAGCGTCTCTATACTCAAAAACAAGTTTCAGCGTCTCTTCTGAATCCCATTTTTATCTTTTACTTCTTTCTTTTTAATAATATTTTGCTTTCTTCCTCTCTGATGTTTTTTATGTGATTCCACAAGTCTTTTGGTCTTCTGTCATTAGTGTCTGATGTATCAAATTTATTCTCTGAGTTCAGGTGGGATATACTCAAGGTCGTGTTTTGGCTTTCATGGACTGGTTTTACTATTCTTCAGCTTCAGACTGAACTTGTATGTGAGCATGTTCCACAGTCTACCAAGACCTTGTTTTGGCTGATGATATTGAACTTCTCCATTATCTCTTTCAGGTAGTCAATTTAATTCCTGTGTATTTCATCTGGTGAGGTTCAAGTATATGTTGTTGAAAAAAGATACTTGCAATGAGTAAGTCATCGCTCTTGCAAAGTTCTATCATTCGATTTCCAGCATCATTTCTTTCACTGAGGTCATATTTTTCATCTACTGATCCTTCCTTTTTGTTTCCAACTTTTGCATTCCAATCACCAGTAATTATCAATTCATCTTAATTGCATGCCTGGTCAATTTCAGACTGAATAAATTGGTAGAATTCTTTAATTTCATCATCACTGACTTTAGTGGTTAATTTGTAAGTTTGAATAACAGTGGTATCAACTATGGATATTATCACAAACAACATTGTACTTCAAGATCGTTCTTGAAATGCTCTTTACTGTGCTTACCCTATAGTGGCACACCAGATTCCATAATATATAGTTCTATTGAATGGAATGCTTGATTTATTTTATATCTTTCAATCTTCCTAATGTACTCATTAAAAAATGATTTTCAGAATGAACTTCGACCTTGGTCAATCTTTCTTCTGATTGCTGTTGGTAAGGAGTCCTTGTGTGGCACTGTGGGTTAATGTACTAGACTGCAAAGTCGATTTGAACCACAGGATTGGTGGTGCAAACTCACTAGCCTCTCCTAGGAAACACTATACTGGTTCATTATTGGTTGGAACTGACTCTATGGCAGTTAACAACTCTATATAAAGAGTAAAACTCTTATAAATATTAAATATATTATGCTCTTTGAATTTTTAAGTTTTCTGTGTCTTATCATGTGTTACATTCCATAACTTTATCATTTCTGTGTTTTGGAAACAGTTTGTTCTTGTTTGTATTCTACCAGTATCTACCAGTATCTCTGCCAAGTGTTTTTTCATGATTCTTTGCTGCTTACCATTTTTAATATAGTCCCGTATTAGGCAGCTCTCACTGCATGTTAACTGATAACTGAACAGCAAGCAGTCCCTTACTGGGGACTTTTTAATGGTTCCCCAAATCTGAGCTATGACTATCATTTTAGGACTTCTCCTGGGTGATAGTGCCCTGTTTCCACTTGAAAATGTAGACTTAGGTAATTAAGTGATTAAAAATTTTTAAGAACACTTGGAGTCTTTCTGGTAGGCCAACAAACAAAGAAAATGATCCTTTGAGTCTATTCTGGATCATGGTGACCCGTGTGTTACTGAGTAGAACAGAGTCCCATGGAGTGTCCATGGCTGTGATCTCTAGGGAATCAGATCACCAGGCTTCCTGCCTTCTGAGAAAATTATTTACTAATTCATTAAGAATTGAGAGGGCAGAGGACCCTGCCTTTTTTTCTTCTGAGACATAGAATTAGTTTAAAACACTTATCTGTTTAGATGACTTCATCATTACACGATGCATAACTAGAAAAAGAGCAAATGTTTTCCACAATGAAGTGGCTAGGTTAAAGCTGAGCGTACATCCCCAAGGCTTCTGGTGGACAGAAGTATATAAAAAACAAAACCCTATTGTCATAAAGCTGATTCCACCTCCTAATGACCCTATGTTGTTGTTGTGAAGTGCCTAGTAACCCTGTATAGGGTTTCCAAGGAGCAGCTGGAAAGCTTGAATTGCCTACCTTGTGGTTCAAAGCGACTTTGCAATCCAGCACATTAACCCACAGCATAAGGACTCCAATGACTCTAAAGGATAGAGCAGAACCAGGCCATAGAGTTTCCAAGGTTGTAAATCTTGACAGAAGCAGACTGCCATATCTTCCTTTCACTGAGTGGCTGACAGGTTGGAACCACTGACCTCTTAGTTAGCAGTCTAGTGCTTAATCACCATGCCACCAGGGATGAAATTATTAGTACACAAATTATTCAATATAAGACATAAGGAGAATCCCTAATATGCAAATTGTCTCTAATGGTTTTCATTTCAAGTTGAAAAATCAGTGATAGAAGTCATCTTTTTAGTGTTTCCAAGTCACTTTGTGTCATGAGGATTGACCTGAACTAACTTAGAAATTGAATGTGGCCTAATCCTGATGAATGCTCTTTTTCTAGTCTTCATGTGGAGAATGTCCATTGAAAAAGGGGTCTTTTCTGCACCATTTATAGCCCTAGAATGTATTCTCCTTACTAACTATGTTTTTGTTATTAAGTGCTTTTTAGTTGTTTCCAACCCATAATGACCCTGTATAGGGTTTCCGAGATGCAGCTGGGGAGTTTGTGGTTCAAACTGACTTTGCAGTCCAGCACATTAACCCCAGCACCACACCAAGACGTCTTACTCACTATAACCTCTGAAATGATAATATAGTTCAAAAGTATTGCCTTACCAGTTCCTTTGTGGTGTTGAATACTGCAAGAGTTGCTGCATGAGAAGCACAGAAGTTCTGACTGGATGTCCAAGTCGTTGTATTTTCAGAAAAATAAAAGCACTTTTTTTGGTAACCTATCCAGCCATCCAGGCATGAAGTGTGTTCACTGGAAGATTTGTTTCTTTCAACTAAAATGATTTAATAATTAATTAAGAGTTGAGAGGGTGGAGGACACTTACTCTTTTCTTCTGAGACCCAGAATTACTTTAAAACACTTATTTGTTTAGATGATTTCGACTGGTTACAATAGATGTGTAACCAGAAAGAGAGCAAATGTTTTCCACCATGAAATTGATTCTTAATTTACTTTGCATCTACTAGAAACAGCCTAGGGGAAAAATAATAATAATTATATGCAAGTATACGGTTTATGATATGTTAGTTCATGAGCTAGTAACTCTTTCTATTTTACCAGTCCATGGTGAGATATAGGACTTGTGGCAGAAAGTAAATTTACTATGTCACCAAATGTGCTATTTAATTCACCTGATAAGTTTTTAAAGCAAAACGTTCTTTATGAGGGAAGCAGCATGATGTTTTACATTTTGTCACAAATCTTTACTTGTGAGGACTTGTTTGAAAGAAAACTTCAAACATATTAGGTAATCATTTTTCCTTGAAATAGTGCTACGTGATATTTAGTACAAGTTTTATTCTCACTTTATAGAGGTAAAATATGCACAAAGGTCAGAATTAAGTCTGATCAGAAATTACCCAACCCTTGAGCTACAATGTGAAAAGCACACAAGAGTGAACTATTCTATGCCCACAAGGATGAAATAATGCTATGAAAGAGTTAACATGACATATATAAGAAATGGCCAGTCTCACCTGCTAAAATTGTGGCCAGTGTAGTTATTAGAATCACCAGAAAGGAGATGAGGATAATTATTTTAGAGTCACAAATTGTCTTTTGATCTGTTTTGGTAGGTTCTTGTGCCTCAGTAGAATGGCTGGAAGAGACACTGTCACCTATTTGCAAAAAACAAACAAAAAAACAGCTCTTCATTATTAAGTCAGTTTACTAATGTTCAGGATACAAGATCAATATTCAAAAACTGGTCTTATTTTTTTCTGTACACTATAGCAATGATCATCTGAAAACGGACATCAAAAGCTATACCATTCATTATAGCACAAAGTATTAGATTCATAGGAATAAATCTGACAAAAGACATGAAAGACTTGTACATGGAAAGGTACAGAGCATTTCTGAGAGAAATCAAAGACCTAACTGGATAGAGATAATGCTTTCATAAGTCATAAGACATATATGAAGATGGCAGTTCTAGGCAAAGTCATCTATATCCATCAGAATTCCAAGTAAAGCCTTAATCATTTTTTTGATGAAGTTTGTTTCTGAAATTCATAGGGCAAAATGTAAAGGACCTAAAATACTCAAAATAAGTTGAAAGAATAAATTAAAGGATTAGTACTATCTGATTTCAAGGCTTATTATAATATAAAGTCCTGGGGTGTTGCTGTAGGATAAACACTGGACTGCAAGGTCAGTTTGAATTGCAAATTAGACAGTTCAAACCTGTAGTCTGCTCCTTGGTAACCCTATACACGGTTGCTATGAATTGGAACTGACTCAATGGCATTTTATAACAACATTCTAAGGATATATCATCATTGTAATGTGGTATTGATTTAAAAATAGACAAATAGAAAAAATTGAGAAAGACACCCACGGATATATGGATACCTGGTTTTGGGCAAATTTGGGGAAAAGATCACGTCAATAAACAATGCTGGAGAAAAAGAAGATGATCTTCAATTAACACTTCATCCTCTGTACAAAAGTTAATTCAAAATGGATCATAGCCCTAGATATATAACCTAGAATGATAATACCTCTAGAAGAGAACACAGAAATAAGTTGTTGTAGTCTTGGGCTAGGCAAAGATATTTCAATCAACACAAAATCACAATCCATATGAAAATGATAAATTCACTTGTTCAAGATTAATAACTTTGTTTTTCAAAATACAATATTAGCAAAATGAAAAGACAAACCAGACACTGGGATAAAATATTTACAAATCATATCGAACATATATATATTCCAGAAGCTTTACTCCATTCACATCATCATGGCCAATTCTACTTTGAGGTGGACGCTCTTCCCCAGTCACATTCTGGGTACTATCTAACCAGAGGGCTCATCTTCTGGCATTATATCTGAAAATGTTCTGGTGCTCTTCATCATGTTTCAGTATCCTGGTGTTATCTCATACTGCTACTCATAAGGTTTTCAGTGACAAAATATTTAGAAGCAGTCTCTCTCTCCTTCTTCCTAGTCTGTCTTAGTCTGGAAGTTCAGCTGAAACCTGTCCATCATGGGTGACCCTGCTGGTATTTAAAGTACCCGTGACATAGCTTCCAGAATCACAGCAGAGTGCAAGCCACCACAATATGACAAATTGACAGATGAGTGGAGGGACATATATAAAGAACTCTCTAAATAACTTTTCAATACTTAATAAGAAACCACACAACTCAATAAAAATATGGATAAAATCTCTAAAGAAGATATATGGATGTCAAATAAACACATAAAAAGACACTCATCATTATTAGTCATTAGGAAAATGTGAAAATTTGGAAGCCACCACATAGCTATTGTTGTTGTTAAGTGACTTTGAGTCAGTTCCGACCCATAGCAACCCTGTAGAGGGTTTCTGAGGAGCAGCTGGTGAGCTGGAACCACTGACCTTGCAGTTCAAATAGCTTTGCAGTCTGGCACATTAACCCACAGTGCCATACCAGGACTCCAACTCATGCCAGCACTCGGACATAGCTATTAGAAGAGCTAAAATTAAAATGCCTGCTCCTTTCAAATGCCAGTGAGGGATGTAGAAGATCTAGAATTCTCATTTACTATTGGTAGAAATGTAAAATGGCACAACTACTTTGGAAATAGTTTGGAAGTTTCTTAAAACACCAATACTACAATATGATTCATCCATTTTAACCATATGTATTTTCCCAAAAGAAAGACAAAAGACATGTATACAATTTTTTGTGACAGCTTTATTTGTAATTGTTGTTGCTAAGTGCCATAGAGTCATTTCTGAATCATAGAAATCCTATAGAGTTTCTAAGGAACAGCTGGTAGGTTTGAACCACTGACCTTGTGGTTAGCAGTCCAGTCCATATACAGTGCTATACCAGGATGCCTTATTTGTAATAGCCTCAAACTAAGAATAACCAAATGTCCATCTATGAGGGAAGGAATAAATTATTTGTAATATATCCATGCAACAAAATTCAACTCAGTAACCAAGTACTCACAGCGACATGGATGCATCATAAGATCATTATGTTGAATAAAAGCAGTAAGACATAGATGAGTGTCTGCTGAATGATTTCACTTGTATTAAACTCCAGAAAAAGTAAACTAATCTATAGTGACAGAAAGACAACTTGTTATCTCAGGGAAGTTGTGCTGAAAGGGAATGATTACAGTGAGGAACAAGGAAACTTTAGGAACAGGTGGATAGATTCATTATCTTGACTGTGTTGATTATTCATGGGTGCATACACATGTCAAACTCATCCAATTGTATACTTCAAATATGTAATTCAATTTTAACGTATGTTCATTTTACCAAAAGAATAATTGTGTTAAAAAAAAAATGAGTTGGCCTTTATTCACATCATTTTGATTATAAAATCCTTTGTACAGATAGCTAAAATGATTTGACATGGACTGTTGTTTCTGTTAAATGCTATTGAATGATTCTCACTTATAGTGGCCCTGTATAGGGTTCTGATGAGTGGCTGGTGTATTTGAACTGCTGAACTTGAGGTTCAAACAGATCTTTCAGTCCAGTGCTTATCTTACAGTGCCACACAAGAGAGGAATATCATTGTGACACTGTCTCTGTTTGAGGGTTAGTATTCAGAATGGATAGTGGAGAGGCTATGGATAGCAGAGAGGAGTCCTGGTGTGACACTGTGGGATAATGCCCTGGCCGGCAAGGTCGGTTTGAATTGCAAGGACTGCTATTCGAATTCACCAGCTGCTACTTGGAAATGACTCCACAGCACTTAATAATAACAACCAAAGATATATTGTTTACTTTAGCATCGACAGCCAGTCATAGTTGTCCTTGTTACTTGACGACTGTGACTCACCTGCATGCTCCAGCAATATCTCATCATTCATGTCTCTTTTTGAGTAAAATGCAGGTTGGTGATACTAAATACACTGGATTCAGGATCCCTGGCCACGTCTGCAATTTATTTTAAGTAGTATATAGGAAGACAATCTAAAATGAGAATATAATGTCAACATAAAAAAACTATGACAAATACTTTCCAGAGTCTGATCAATAACATAACTTCTTATTCTCTTTTGGTGCATAACAGTGTGATGCTGCAAGGTAAGCAGTGGACAGCAAAGTAAGTGTGAACCGCAAGCTTGGAAATTCAAACTCAGCCATGGCTCCTAGTAACCCTAAAGGGTCACTATGAGCCAGAACCGATTAGACAGCTCTTAACAACAACAGTAAATATATATATGCATATACATACATATGTATGTGCATATAAGGTCGGCAGTTCAAAACTACCAGAGGTTCCGTGGGAGAAAGATGAGGTGTTCTGCTCCTGTAAAGATTTACAGCCTTGGAAACCCTGTGTAGGGTCACTATGAGTCAGAACCGACTCCATGGTACTTAACAACAACATATATATACATATATATGTATATGTGTACATGTATTATATACATATGGTGGTTGTGGTTATGTGCCATGGAGTTGGTCCCTAGTCTAATGATCTTGTATAAGGTTTCCGAGACTGTAAATCTTTATGGAAGCAGAAAGTTGCATCTTTCTCCCCCACGGAACTGTCTGTAGTTTCAAACTGCTGACCTTGAGCTTAGCAG